AGGCTATGAAGTCTCTTCTATGATTCTACACATAGGTACATTTTATGAATAATTTTTAAAATTCACTTTTGCTAAGAATTTTAAACAAGTCTTACTTATTTTGCAAAATAGTTGGGCATTGGGGCCTGTGTCGTGACATAGCAGATAAAGCCGCTGCCTGCAATGCTAACATCCCATATGGGCTCCAGTTCAAGTCCCAGCTGCTCCACTTCCAATCCAGCTCCCTATTAATGTGCCTGGGAAAGCAGCAGAGGACAGTCTACACCCATGTGGGAGACCCATATGAAGCTACTGGCTCCTGACTTTGGCCTGGCCCAACCTTGGCCATTATGCCATTTGGGGAGTGAACCAGTGGATAGAAGTCTCTCTCTCTCTCTCTCTCTCTCTCTCTTTGTCTCTCTCTCTCTCTCTCTTCTCTCTGTGTAACTCTGCGTTTCAAGTAAGTAAATAAATCTTAAAAAATAAATAGTTGGGTATCATTTAATTTATATTGCATATGCCTTCATAATTTGGTAAAAATACAAATATATGTATATAAAGATAATTGAAAATGAATCTTGATGTGAATGGAAGGGGAGAGGGAGTGGGAGAGGGGAGGGTTGCGGGTGGGAGGTAAGTTATGGGGGGGGAAAGCCATTATAATCCATAAGCTGTACTTTGGAAATTTATATTCATTAAATAAAAGTTTAAAAAATACTAAAAATACAAATATATGTCAATGAAATTATCTAATTAACTATTAATATATGCCACTAATTAATTTAAGACACCACAGATAAAATATTATGTTAATTTCTACATATTTCAACTTTTCCAAGCCTAAAATCTTAGGTAATGCAGCTTTCAAATTACTGCTAATAAAAAATTTATGACTGCTGAACACTATATACAATGCAAAACACACTACATAAGCAACTGTATTTGCAACACTCTGCCCATTCCGGTGCAATGGGAGACCATTAGGACCTTTATCGCATTCTGATTGTGGAACTCACAGACCCTTTGAGCATACCTTTGCACTCTGTTCAGTCCGCCTGAAGGACACTCGTTGTCAGTGGGCTTTAGATATATGCCCCCACGACTGAAAAATGCAGCTGTTACACCACAACTATATCTATCTAGCTACTATATATATATATATATATATATATATAGCTTATATATATATGCTTATATATATATAAGGTTCAGTAGTATCTACCACGTCTTTTTATTTTTTTAAAGATTTACTTGAAAAAGAGATATACAGAAAGAGATCTTCCATCTGCTGGTTCACTCCCTACATGGTCCCAACAGCCAGGACTGGACCAGACCGAAGCCAGGAGCCAGGAGCTTCTTCCAGGTCTTCTCCCACATGCATACCAGGTTGCTAGATCCTCCTCTGGGTCTCCCACATGGGTGCAGGGGCCCAAGGACTTGGACCATCTTCCACTGCTTTCCCACGCCATTAGCAGAGAGCTGGATCGGAAATGGAGCAGCTAGTTCTCAAACTGGCACCCATATGGGATGTCAGCAGTGCAGGCGCCGGCTTATCCTTCTGTGCCACAGTGCCAGCCCCACTGCAACTATTTCGAAAATTCAGTTCAGTCACTTTCTAAACTGCAAAGACTATGGTGTTTTCTAACTGAGCTAAAAGATGGAGTGAAACTGTCCTCAAAGATGTAGGGTCTTTAAAATTCTCTTTCCACAGTAAATTGTATATGGAATTATTCTTTCATGTGCCCAAATATTGTCACTGACGAGGAAGAACTTTTCAGAGGGTACAGTCAGGGACCATAGAAAACACTGGGAAAGAAAGTACTTCTCAGGGGACCTGCATTATGGCACAGCAGGGAAGCTGCCACCTGTGACACCAGCATCCCATATGGGCACCGGTTCATGTCCCAGCTGCTCCACTCCCAATACAGCTCTCTGATACTGGCCTGGGGAAAGCAATGGAGGATGGCCCAAGTGTTTGGGCCCCAGCATCCTCATGGGAGACCCAGATAAAGCTCCCAGCTCCTGGCTTTGTCCTGGCCAACTGGGGAGTGAACCAGCAGATGGAAGATTCTCTCTCTCTCTCTCTCTCTCTCTCCTTCTCTCTCTCTCTCTCTCTCTCTCTCTCTCTCATTCTTCCTCACTCTGTAATTCTGACTTTCAAAATAAATAAATAAATCTTTTTTAAATAAATAGAACTTCTCAGAAAACAGAACTGGGTCTACTTGGGGAATACCAGGGCAGAGAGATTGCCTAAGGCCTGTGCTGCAGGATTTCTGCAAACACTCGATAGTGACTGCCGTGTGGTTCTTGTTCTTTCTTTTCCTAACTGTAGCACCCTGGGCTTGCTCCACACTGCATAACGTATGGACAAATGCCAGGACCTCAGCTCTTTGATTCTGAGTTGGACCACATCCTGCCCTGTTGCTGATGACTACACTTTGCTCAGAGATTCTCAGCTTGGAACATGGAGTCAGTAGTGGCACGGAACTTGTGGACTCTTGCCTCAGCTGGGATGTGGGGGGTGGTGTGCTTACTCTATGAATGAGGAGAAAGATAAAGTGGGTATCTGCTAGGCAGAAGGGCGAGTCTGATCAAGACAGCTAGCTCACCACCCACTTCCTTAAATTTCCTCAGCCCACAGAAATATTGCATTTCATAGCTTCAAGTTGTATTTAAGTTTTGCAATCCAAAAGGACTATGAGTCACTCTCTGGCCTGGCTCATTAAAGACTGCCTTACAACATCTCCCATTCCCTCTTCCCACATCTGGATTTCAGCACAAACACAGACACTGTGGGAGAAGACAACAGGAACAGCAGGAGAACAGTGGGTCAGGATTCAAAGTCAAATGTCGCCACCTCCAATGTTTGAAGACAGTCCAGTTAGCACACCCATAGGGTGTCTAACAGACAACTCAAACTCGTCCAGATATTTCCAAGACAGAACTTGAAAATCTCGGCTGGTGCCGCAGCTCAATAGGCTAATCCTCCGCCTGTGGCACTGGCACCCTGGGTTCTAGTCCTGGTCGAGGCGTCGGATTCTGTCCTGGTTGCCCCTCTTCCAGGCCAGCTCTCTGCTGTGGCCCAGGAGTGCAGTGGAGGATGGCCCAGTCCTTGGGTCCTGCACCCGCATGGGAGACCAGGAGGAAGAATCTGGCTCCTGGCTTCGGGTCAGCACAGTGCGCTGGCCCCAGCGGCCATTGTGGGGTGAACCAACGGAAAAAGGAAGACCTTTCTCTCTCTCTCCCTCTCTCTCACTCTCTCTCTCTCTCTCACTGTCCACTCTGCCTGTCAAAAAAATAAAAATAAAAAAATTTAAAAATTTAAAAAAAGAACTTACAGATCTCCTATCTGATTCTCAGTCTGTCGCTCCCCAGTCTCGCACATCTTAGTGACATCACAATTCACATACCTTGGCCAAGAACCCAAGGGTCCTCCTTGGTACTTTCTCCTCATGCCCTCAAGCCCCTGTGAGCTCCTCAGAGAACCCAAGTGTTTCCTCATAGCTGGCACTAACTTTAAATTTTATCCTAAATCCAGTTACAGCTCATCCCCAACTCTAAGCTATCCTTGTCCACAGCACCGTCCTCTCTCAGCCACGATGGCACCTCCCAACTGTGTCCTCGTTTCCACTCCCCTGCACCTGCTCCCACCTGTTAAAAAAAATAAAGGTGCGTGACTTACTTAGAGTAACATCTAGATATCAAGTTAAGGTTGTTTACTTGAAAAAATTAGCAGTATTTTGAGATCCAAGCCATAAACCGAGAGCTGAATCAGAAGTGGATCAGGGGCCAGTGCTGTGGCGCAGTAGGTTAATCCTCTGCCTGCAGTGCCAGCATCCCATATGGGCACCAGTTCTAGTCCCAGCTGCTCTTCTTCCAATTCAGCTCTCTGCTATGGCCTGGAAAAGCAGTAGAAGATGCTCCCAAGTCCTTGGGCCCCTGCACCTGGAAGAAGCTCCTGGCTCTTGGGTTCTGATCGGTGCACCTCCAGCCATTGCAGCCATTTGAAGAGTGAACCAGCAGACGGAAGACCTTTCTCTCTGTCTTTCCCTCTCACTGTCTGTAACTCTACCTCTCAAATAAATAAATAAAAAATCTTAAAAAAAGAGAGAGAGAGAGAGGACAGCTGAGATATGAACCAGCACCCGCAACAGCGTAGGCCCCCATCATGGAGTTTTGATCTAAAAAATACTTCTTCATGCAGGAATTTTTTTTTTCATGAAACCTGTTTCCTCTCCTTTCTTCACCCAACTCCTATTCACCTTTTAAGGACCAATTGCATTTCAGTTCAAGTCTTCCCTGGTGCCGCTCTCTGGCATGAGGTTGGACACACACACTAAACATCCTACAATGGCAGTCAAGTGCACTGGTTAAGAGCATGAGTTGGCAAACTTTCTGCAAAGTGTCAGCCAGGTATTAAGTATTCTGGGCTTTATAGGACACATACAATCCCAGTTACAGAGCCGATGGGTTTTTTTAGTAACCTTTATAAATGTCAAAACCATTCTTATGCCAGCGCCACGGCTCACTAGGCTAATCCTCCGCTTTGCGGAGCCGGCACACTGGGTTCTAGTCCCGGTCGGGGCGCCAGATTCTGTCCCGGTTGCCCCTCTTCCAGGCCAGCTCTCTGCTGTGGCCCGGGAGTGCAGTGGAGGATGGCCCAAGTGCTTGGGCCCTGCACCCCATGGGAGACCAGGATAAGTACCTGGCTCCTGCCATCGGATCAGCGCGGTGCGCCGGCCGTGGCGGCCATTGGAGGGTGAACCAACGGCAAAGGAAGACCTTTCTCTCTGTCTCTCTCTCTCACTGTCCACTCTGCCTGTCAAAATAAATAAATAAATAAATAAACAAACAAACAAACATTCTTAGATCACTTGACATAAAAAAAAAAAAAAACAAGCCCAGATTTGGCCAGAAGGGAAGGTTTTGAGGTGCTGGGCTTGAGAATTCGAGGATAGATCAGACATTTTTTAATGATGCCTGAAATACATACTGACTGCCTCAGTGAGCAACATGTTTACCTTCTGGCACAGATGAGTCTTCTTAATGATGAAATGACAGTGAAATCGGGGTTAAGACCAAGAAGAATTGTCACCTGAACAAAAACACCAAGAAATTGTTATTGATTGAGCTGTCAGTGTCTTCTTATTCAAAACACTGAAAATGAACTGTTACTACAGCAGTGATCAGATGCTAAAATTACCTTTCCAGGCTGTTACCAACACTTATAGTCATCCATTAAGTAATCCACATGAACTTGAAGGAAATGATGCCATTGAAATAAGAAGAGCAGCACAGAGGCATTTGAAAGCTGAATTAGGAATTTCTATGGACGAGTTTCCTCCAGAAGAAATTAATTAACATGATTTCACTACTGCTTGTTTGTTTATTTTAAATTTGGTTCCCATTTAGAACTCTCATAGGATCCACTGCCACTTTTCACGACCAGAATTTCTGTAGGGAAAACAACCAACTTACAACTTTGTATTATACCCCATCAGCACTGTTACTTGTAAAAGACATGTTTGAGATCAGTGTAAATGCTCTCTCTCTCTCTGTTTCCTGATCTCTGTCTCTCTCTTTTCCCTGCTGTCCTACCTTTTTCATCTTCACCCTTTCCCTCTGGTCTGTCGGGTTTCCTCCAATAAACTCTTCCCCTTACTCCGGTGTTTGCTGTGCTTTGCGGCAGCCTTACAGACAGGAAGAGTTTGTTCACAGGAAATAAAGCAGTGGATTAAGAACATGCAGAGATGCACAACCTTTCTCAGGGAGAGACACCACCACTACACTTTACGCAAAACTGTGAAACACGATGGCTGTGCAAGGCTGTGGGAAGCAGGCGCTGGCTGGGACTGCTGGCTGTGCGCCTTAAGTTATTGTCCCTGCTTCTTCTTCCCACTGCCTCCCGGCTACAATAAGTTGGTCCATGATTTACTGCACCAGAAAGAGGTTGGCAGGCACTAGGAGGGATGAGAGAGAGAGAGAGAGAGAGAGAGAGAGAGAGAGAGAGAGAGATTAGTGTAAAATGAAAGAGCAAATAAGACTTAATCTGTTTAAACACATAGTCATGACAAATTTGAAAAAAAAATAGTAAGAAGAAGGCATGCATGGTTTGCCAACTCTAGGCTGAGAGTATAGTCTATACAGATGGTCTGGGTTTGAATCCTGGCTCTGCTATATCATTCTGAAACCCTAGTCACTCAACTTCTTTGAACCTCACTTCTCTGTTGGGAAACAAGTCTCTCATTTCAGTACATCTTTGTTCCAAATCATTATTTCAAGCTTTGGAAGAAAGAATGTCTCCCTCTGGAATAAAGAGCTGCCAGGACTACCATCACATAATAACAACAGCTCTCTCCAAGAAACATGGAAGTGCCCCACTCCATTATATAAGATGTGAGTTCCCAGAACTCGGTGCTCCTCAGTTGGAACACAAACCAAACCCACTGCATTGCATATGGGACACTGAAGTGTATGCCACTGCTGCGCTTTGAGTAATAAATTTCCTTGTCTCTGACCCGGGAATTTCATGTATTTTTCCAGACTTTACCATCTGCTTTCATCTTCTTTCTCGGGGTACAAAAATTCTCCTTTCTTTTCTTTCTTTTTTTTTCATTCTATTCAGGCCTTCGGTTATCCACTCAATGGTTTCAATTCTCTCTACAGTATACTATGCTGATGACTCTTAGATATGCAGAAAGGGTCTTCAAAAAGACTGAAAATACACATTATAAAAAGCTATGCCAGGGGCCTGCGCTGTGGTGCAGCAGGTTAAAGCCACAGCCTGCAACGCCGGCCTCCCATATGGGCACCGGTTCTAGTTCTGGCTGCTCCTCTCCCAATCCAGCTCTCTGCTATGGCCTGGGAAAGCAGTAGAAGACAGCCAAATTCCTTGGGCCCCTGTATCTGCGTGGGAGACTCAGAAGAAGCACCTGGTTTCTGGCTTCAGATCAGCTCAGCTCTTGCCGTTGCGGTCATTTGCGGAGTGAACCAGCAGAATGGAAGATCTCTCTCTCTCTCTCCCCCTCTCCTTCTCTCTCTCTCTCTGCCTCTCCTTCTCTCTATAACTCTTTCAAATAAATAATTCTTAAAAAAAAAAAAAAGCTATGCCAGAGGGGATTAAGATGGCAGCGTAGGGAGAGAGTTGCTGCTCTAGTCTAGGAGAAGATAGTTTTTGAAAAGTGGAAAGAGTGCAGTCTCAGGGAAGAGTTAGGGAGAAAACAGCAGAGGAAACTCTACGCAAATTGGAGGGACACAGTGGACCTACATGGAGGGCATGGATGCCCACAACTCAGAACCCCAAGAGCCAAGAGCCTCTGCAACAGCATTGGTGAGTGAGGTGAGACCAAACTGCAGCAGCCTGAGCCACTGGTGAAAAAGCTGCAGGAAAAGCCTAGAGGGAATCTGGCTTGGAGCCCCGTGGGGGACAGTGTACTTGCCAAGCTAGAAGAGAAAAAACAAAAGGGGGGCACATTTTCTCCCTCCACATCACCCTACAACAGCGTCCTGTAACAAGTTGACAGAGAGCAGGTGCCATAGGCGTTGGTCTCCTTCGAGGAGAGGAGCTCAGCTGAGTCTACACCAACAGACAAGAACAAACTTTGGCTGGCACCATGGCTCCCTTGGCTAATCCTCCGCCTATGGCACCAGCACCCCAGGTTCTAGTCCCAGTTGGGGCGCTGGTTCTGTCCCGGTTGCTCCTCTTCCAGTCCAGCTCTCTGCTGTGGCCCAGGAAGGCAGTGGAGGATGGCCCAAGTGCTTGGGCCCTGCACCCACATGGGAGACCAGGAGGAAGCACCTGGCTCCTGGCTTCAGATTGGCACAGCGTACCAGCCATAGTGGCCATTTTGGGGGTGAACCAACGGAAGGAAGACCTTTCTCTCTGTCTCTCTCTCTCTCACTGTCTAATTAAGCCACACAAACTTAGCCTAAAGACAAAAGCCACCACAGCAAAACAATAAAGAAGAAACCAACAAGTATCTCCACAAATGCCCAAAAACAAATGCAACAACTCAAAAAACAAAAATAAGAAAGACTACATGACACCCACAAAAGAACACAACACTTTAATACAAGATTGTGAAGATCATTTTGAAGAAATGCCAGAAACGGAATTCAAAAAATTGATCATAGGATTACTTGGAAGCAATCAGAAGCAAATACATGAACTAATTAAATCCATACATTACATGAAATAAAATTTCTCCCACAAAACTAAGATCTTAAAGAGAAATCAAAATGAAATCTTGGAAATGAAGAATTCAATAGAACAAATAAAAAAAGCAGTGGAAAGCCTTAACAACAGAATCAGTGAAGCAGAAGAAAGAATATCTGACTTAGAAGAAAAAGCACAGGAAATTATACAGTCACACCAAACACAAGAAGAAAAAATTAGAAAACAAAAAAACACTGTTGGTAATCTACAGGATACTCTCAAATGACCCAACATATGAGATCTAGGAGAAAGGATTAGAAGGTTTTTTAATTAAATAATAACAGAAAAATTCCCAAACTTAGAGAAAGAAAGGGTCCTCCAAGTACAGGAAGCATATAGAATTCTCTTTTTTTTTTTTTTAATTTTTATTTATTTTTTGACAGGCAGAGTGGACAGTGAGAGAGAGAGAGACAGAGAGAAAGGTCTTCCTTTGCCGTTGGTTCACCCTCCAATGGCCGCCGCGGCCGGCGCACTGCGCTGATCCGATGGCAGGAGCCAGGAGCCAGGTGCTTTTCCTGGTCTCCCATGGGGTGCAGGGCCCAAGCACTTGGGCCATCCTCCACTGCACTCCCTGGCCACAGCAGAGGGCTGGCCTGGAAGAGGGGCAACCGGGACAGAATCCGGCGCCCCGACCGGGACTAGAACCCGGTGTGCCGGCGCCGCTAGGCGGAGGATTAGCCTAGTGAGCCGCGGCGCCGGCAGCATATAGAATTCTTAATAGACATGACCAAAAAAGTTCTTCACCACGATACATTGTCGTCAAACTCTCCACAGTAAAACATAAAGAAAAGATTCTAAAATGTGCATGAGAGAAATGCCAGATTACTTTCAGAGGATCTCCAATCAGCAGACTTCTCATCAGGAGCACTACAAGCTAAAGAGAGAACGGCAAGATATATTCCAAATCTTAAGAACTATCAACTCAGAACCTGCAAAGCTCTCATTTATGAATAAAGGTGAAACAAAGACCTTCCATAACAAACAGAAACCGAAAGACGTTGTCAACACCCATCCAGCCCTGCACAAGATGTTTAAGGATGTGCTGCACACAGGAACACAGAAACATGGTCATCACTATGAAAGAAGGTAAAGGAAGAAAATATCCCAGTAAAACTACAAAAAAAAATCCAAAGTAAACAATAGGAATATTTATGGAAATGTTTACGGAAAAATGGCAGGGAAAAGTTGTTACTTATCAATAGTCACCTTGAATGTAAATGGCCTCAACTCCCCAGTTAAAAGACACAGACTGGCTGAATGGACTCAAAATCAAAACCCATCTATTTTCTGCCTATAAGAAACACATCTCACCAACAAAGATGCATGCAGACTGAAAAATGAAAGGATGGATAAAGATATTCCATACTAACAGAAACCAAAAAAGAGCTGGTATAGCCATCCTAATATTAAACAAGATAGACTTTAACACAAACACTGTTAAAAAGAGACAAAGAAGGGCACTAAGTAATGATTAATGGATCAATTAAACAGGAATATGTAATTATTTTTTAATATTTATTTTATTTATTTGAAAGACAGAGTTACAAAGAGAGGTAGAGACAGAGAGAAAGATATTCCATCTGCTGGTTCATTCCCCAGATGGCCGCAATGGCTACAGCTGTGCCAATCCAAAGCCAGGAGCCAGGAGCTTCCTCCAGGTCTCCCACATGAGTGCAGGGGCCCAAGGACTTGGGCCATCTTCTACTGCTTTCCCAGGCCATAGCAGAGAGCTGGATTAGAAGAGGAGCAGCCGGGACTAGAACCAGTGCCCATATTGGATGCCGGTGCTTCAGGCCAGGGCTTTAACCCACTGTGCCACAGCACCAGCCCCGGAAGATGTAATTATTATAAATATATATGCTCCTAAGTACAGGGTACCG